TTTAAATCCTGGTGTGTCCTGCTACATTTATACTCACCACTTGGGTTTGTGCATTACATCAATCACCAAGTTCCTCAACCTTAACATTTGGAAATCATGTACATCTTTAAAACCCTCAAGGAGGATTGTGGCTTACAAGTAAGAACTGAGTAAACTTGCCTAGACTGCCAGGTTAGTTCAGGGTGTGGCAGAAGTTAATCCCTTGGGAAGCCTTCCTGTGCTGTGGCCTACAGAAAGAGTCTTTCTCGGCCCCTTTACAACAGTTATCTTCAGTTCCATGAGGTTCGTTGCAAGCATGGATCCAGGTTCATTGATCTGGTCAACTCTTTGAAGACAAAATCTCTCATGGCTTTGGTCTTTTAAACAGGTAAGAATATAATAGGATTTAGATTTAAATGGTAAGAAGCTGAATGCTGGTCATACTACATTTCACTTTATTGAAATTTATCATATAATGTTATTTCCCCATCTTTTATGCAAGTAAAAATAAATGATATAAAATACATAATGCACTTTGATAATTTTACAGAGCGATCAAAACTATGTTACATGGATATTTTACAAAGAATAAAATGATTAGTATAGCACATTCACATGAAATTCATCATTAAGCTTTAGGTGTTACAACATGTTAAATATGCATATCTTCACAACAGTTACTATTTATATGGCCAGTTTGATACTGTATTATTTAAAATAATGAATAATGTATAAATGAGTACTTATAAAAATATTTTAAGTGAAAATCTATACTCTATCGATTTACTTGACCATTAAAAATATATATATTCATCTGAAGCTAATAAATTTGCTTGAGACATTGTTCAACTCCAAATGTGGTTTTTCCAAAACATTTCACCTAGTTAGTATTCTTGGCTACATATAATATATATATACATATACGGTATGAGAATAGGTTTCTTTCAAATAATGTCATTTATTATATTACTTATACCTAAAGTTAGCTACCTAAAGCTATCTATCTCTAATAGGAATACAGCTAAAAATTCAACCATTCACTTGCTTCAGCAATTTCTCAAGGACAAAGTCAGGCAGGGCAATTGATTTCACGTTGAATAGCAAATCAGCACCAGTGAGAGTGTTCTACTAGGTAAACTTCCTACCTGGTTACAGAGTTCTGATATGTGCAGTACATATGTTCAACCCGTTGAACAACTGCCTTTCTTATATCTTCTTACAAAACTAAAGAACAAGCAATTTTTATGATGTATTTTCATAAAAGTAGTAAATACACATCACACATGTAGACATATATCTATACAAATATCTATCTCATTTCGTGAACTTGAGACATCATTTCTCAGTGAGAGAAGCAAGTGATTCTGAGGAAAGAGGCTGTGTCTCTGCTTCCTAAGGATGTAGAAAACACGCATCAACATGTGTGTACACACGCACAGTGGATGCTTGGCCATACGCACACTGAGTCTGCAGTCACTGCCAGCAACTGAAGCAACAACATTCTTCTGACACCACACTTCGCATTATAACAACTATGGAACTACACCACCTAGGGAGATTATTGTTAATATTTTCAAAAGAAATAATCTGGTGCCATTCTTGATTGATCAGGAGGGTGTAGCTTAGCCAAGATGAATGACTAAAATTTTAAATACCTGGTAAAGAAGATTTTTCTTAATGAAAATCGACATTATGTTAAACCATTTTATAAGCTTTCTTCCTTAGTCCTCAAGTGGGATAACTGAAAATGCATTCAGGAAATATAATACATGTCAATGAAATTATTACTGATCACAGCAGTTATTAAACTAATTTTGTAAGATAATGCACATAAGTTTTAAAAATAAATTTTTTTCCAAAAATTCATACAAAATTTAGTCAAGTATTAAAGGTCTATTGCATTATCACTAGTGCAAAATGGGTACAAATGACTTTTAAAGTAGAATGTGAATGCAGATGAATATAAAGTAATGGTAATAATTTTACATTTCAATATTATCATTTTTCAAAATACAAGTGAATAAAAATATGTCTACTATGAGGCATTAAACCATATAATGTAAGAAAAGATCTATCCAAACTACTCAAAGTACTAATACTCAAAGTCTAGTACTGTAAATACAAATGCATTAGCTTCAACCATTTCATCCTCAACCAAATGTTTCCCAATCAATGCATATTAATTTTAACTATAAAATATTTGAGAGATTAAAATAGTTTTTTCCTTAAGTTGCAGCATGTTATTTCAGTGACATATGTATATGATATATATATTTCTGTCTGATGATATGATAGGAGATTACTGCTGGGGCAGGTTTTGATCCAGTGCCTAAGATGCTGACGAACATGTTCATGTTCTGCATTTGATGGCCTTCGTGTGAATCCTGGCTCAGTTAATGACTCCAGCTTCCTGTTACACACACCCTCGGAGGAAGTGGTGATGGCTTATGCATCCCAATTCCTGTGACCTGGGAAAACTGAATGGTGTCTTGACTCTTCGAGTCTGTCCAGAGCTGACTGCTACGGGGACTTGGGAGGTCAGGGGTGAGCCAGTGAAGAGGAGCTCTCCTTTTCTCTGTGTGACTGCCATTCTATGAGTTTCAGATAGATTTTTTGTTTAAAAAAAGAACTTGTGGGCCCATTGCGGTAGCCAGTAGCCTAGTGGTTAAAGTCCTCACCTTGCAAGCAATGGGATCACATAGGGGCACCAGATCTAATCCCAGCAGCCCCGCTTCCCATTCCAGATCCCTGCCTGTGGCCTAGGAAATCAGTTGAGAACAGCCCAAAGCCTTGGGGCCCTGCACCTGCATGGGGGAACCAGCAGAGGCTCCTGGCTCCTGGCTTTGGATCGGCACAGCTCCAGCTGTTGTAGCCACTTGGGGAATGAGTCATTGGACGGATCTTCCTCTCTGTCTCTCCTCGTCTCCGTATACCTAACTTTCCAATAAAAATAAACCTTTTTTAAAAGAAAAAAGAACTTGTCCAATTTTAAAATGCACATTGTTGCTGCAAGAAAAATGGCTAATGATGGTACAGGGCACCTAAGCCGCAGGGCAACTTCAGATTTCTGCAATGATTTATAAAATAAAGCTTACCCTTGAAACACAACATGAAACATCCAATGGAAGTACAAACTAGACAGAAATCTTTACATCTTTTCAACTGGTAACAGAGATACACATTTTTAGTTTCTCAAATTCCTCATAGTTTTCACAAGGGTTTTTTTTTTTTTGTAATATCAGACCTTTTTCTAAGCTATTTTGGAATTCTTAATTCTTAAATGTACTGGCTAGGAATTAGGTCATAGCAGTGATTTCATTTCTCGGGACCTCTAGCAAACCCAGGCCCTTTTCCTTGCACTGGAGAGCGGCAGAAGTTCAAACCCAGAACTTGGAAGTGCAGCTGCCTAGGCTTCGGCAATGTCTGAAGGCACACTGCTTTTGGAAGGTGACATTGCATTTATATAAACACACCTATAAGTTCAAGGCCAGTGATGTGTCCAGTGTAATATGCAGCTGCATTCTGCTACTGAAAAATCCGTCATGCATCCAATAGAGATTACTTTTGTATTGTTACAATTGTTTTCGGAATTACACTCAAAGCTTACGTAATGTGCTAATTCTAGTCTTGCACAGCACATCTAAGACCGCTATCTCTAGTTATGAGGGCTGTGATATAAAATGTCCCTTTCAGATTGCTACAGCATTGGCTTCCTTCCAAATGTTTATCCAGGATCATAACTGTCCAAACATATTTTCGGATTTTAAGGGACTTTCTATATTCTCATTCTCCTATGTTTAGATATTCGATACATCATTTAACAGAAAACTGGTTTAAATTTTGGTTCTGCTACTTGCCAATCATGTGACCACCGGCAAGCCCCTGGGCCACTCTCTCAGTGCCTCAACCACAAATCTGGCGATACACACTGTGTCTCTCTATATCATTCTGTGATGATGAAGTGAATCAGTAACAAGAGACCACGAGTAAGACAACTGGAGGTTTACTTTACCAACAATGGTCACTAGGTACATTATTAGCTGAAACTTTTACTATAATCAAAATAACAGTGGTAAGTTTTCCTATAAACCATTACCAACCTTTAGCACTGAGCAAGGATCACGAACCCTGATAGATGGAGTACTTCTATAATTAACCTTCAACACAATATTAAGCAATGCCAATACACAGGACAGAAGAAATGCATCAGTTTAAAAATACAATTGCAGATAACTTGCTCCATGAAATACAGCAAGTACAGCAGAATTCTTGCCTGAGGATTAGTCTCCCAAATAGTGATTAGAAAATAGTAATGGCAATGGCATTTGACTCTTAATTAGCTCTTTCACTCCTCAAGCCTACAATGAAAAAAACACATTTTCAGTATATGAAAAGTACAAAGTACACAAGCCTTCAGGATCCCTTGACAATAATATCAAGAATGCAAAAGCCTTGAAAGTCAAGGGTATATTTAATATGTATGATTTATGAAAATGACCTATCCTTACCACATTCAAGTGTTCAATTTTTTCTTGGAAAACTCTGATCATGGTTTCCACATTTTTCATGATACACATGAGCTTACCAGAAAGGTCTAAAATGCCTGATAACAACTATTATCCTTGGCTAGCATTTTATTTACACACACACACACACACACATCTCATGCATATACAACATTATATTGTTGTTATGCAATGCACAACTTCAAAATAATTATCAAATTTCTATGACTGAAAGCAATGGTAGAAACTCTTTCTGGAAGCTTCCATCAGTTCTCTATTAAGAAATGTGGGAGTAACAAAAAAAAAAACATAGAAAGTGGTTTTAAAATATAAGCTTATTTAGGTGCAAAAAGGAAAATATGTAATCCATGCTTGCTCTTAAGCCCCTATTAGAAGTAACACATGCCTTTTCACACATAAACGACTTTCTCAAATGCGAACAGGGGTGAACATCTATGTCTCCCAGGCTGCACCATCCTAGACATTTATGTAAGATGAGTTTTCAAATGCGGTCATGTTTCTTCAGTGACAGATGTCTTCAAATGGAAATATCCATTATTACATATACCCATTAGAGGAAGATGAAAACAAACAAAGCAAATTTTAGTACAAGGTTCATTTTTACTCATAGTTTTTTTTTAATTCCAGGAACGAATATTAAATGTCAATACACAGATCAGTTTGTGATGGTAAATAGAACACATGAATGCTTATGAATTTACAGCGGAAATATTCTAGTACAAATTGAACATTAGTCATTCACATCATGAAAATAGCTGTAGAGACAAAATGCATTTCTCTATCTGCAGCAGAGAATACTGCACCGGCGTGCGCTGCAGCTGGGCTGGTGTTCAGAAGCTTCTGCCTGCCTGGATCCTTGAAATTCATTTCACTCTTCTCCGACTGGAGGAGGTGGCTCACACAATCTGTACAATCTAGAGAAGGAACAGAAACGTTGAGCAGTTGCCAGAGTCTTGCTCTTATGGGAAGTCTTTTTATTGGTAGAACAAACACATTGCCAACAATTTCTCCATTTGTGAGTCACGTTCACATTGCCTATCTCACTAAAAATAACATGGTAATTAGTAAGTGCTAACATTTTTGTCCTATAATTTTAGTGCATGTCCATGTCTCTTCACACATCTATACGGTTACTGATTAAGCAATGGTACATTTTTTATACCTGTTGCCTTTTTTCTTCAGTGTTGCCAACAGGCTGGTAATAAAACATGTTCTCTGAATTCTAAGAGGTGGAACTATCATGGTAATTACCATCATGTCTGTCCTGAGTAACTTGTAGCAGGTTAGCCCCTCTTTCCTAAGGGTCTGCTGGTTCTAAGATTAATTTTAGAAATTCTCTTCATTTTGTATTATCCCCGTGTTGCAGGCAGTTGGCTGAGGATGGGCTGATGTGGCAGATTTCCTGAATCTCAAATCTCAAAGGTCCAATTAGCATATATTTATTAAGAACTCACCATCTGTCTCTCCCAGGCCCCACAGACTTGATGGATCTCCAAGTCGGTCAAGGAACCCACCTGCATCTGGAGATGTCTATAGATGCTCCTCATTTACATTCCAGATCTAGTTTAAAGCCATATAATATCACTGCAAAGCTCTGAGACTAACTAGGGTTGTATCATGTCTAGTGCCCTGCATTTTCCTGGATAGTTAAATCCTAGCTACAGAACCAATCTAAAAGAAAACATAATAGCTGTCAGGTAACTGTAGTGTATATCCTGAAAGAAGACTACATGGGGACAGTGTTGTGGCATATCAGGTAAACAGCCAGTGTAGGACCAGCATCCCATATGGACACCTGTTTCAGTCCTGGCTGCTCCTTGCTAATGTGCCAAGGAATGCAGTGGATGGTGGCCAAAGTGCCTGAACCTCTGCAACCAGGTGGAGGACTTAGAAGAATCTCCTGGTTTCTAACTTCTGATTGGTCCAGTTCCAGCCATTCCCCCTCTCTCTGTAACTCTGCCTTTCAGCTAAATGAATACATCTTTTAAAAAAGATGTCTGATTATGAGACAGAATCCTTAGACAAATGTCCCTAATGAAGAGACAAGACATCACCAGCACCAAGCCTCTTTGTCTCCCTTCGCCCAAAGTATTCTTGTCCGTCCTTTTTGGATTAACCATTTATCAAACAGAGTTCACTGAATATTAAGGGTATGGTAAACTGGCCCTACAGGGTTGTAACCACAGGACTCAGAACGTTATCTGCCTCTCCATAGACAAAATCTTGTTAGCCAGTATTGTCCGAAGGAGATTTCTTTATGGAAATTTGAGGTCTGGAGCAGCCTATAACCACCAACGTCACGTCTCTCCATTTGGGCTGATTACGTACTACTCAGCTCCAACGTAAGTCCTAAGAACCTTTACCTCTGACCTTTGGCGATCCTGGGAATTAATGGAAAGTTTCCTGTCTCTGTGCTCTGCATTTTGCGAATAAATTTTCACTACCCTGATATCAGTGATTGGACTCAGGCATAGGGGTTGTATAGCTACTCTTTCACTAGTTCTAGTGGCTTGTTCTGCAACAACTGAAAGTGCCCAGGTATTCCACTTTGTGTCCATGGCCCTGTTAGTCTTTCCAACTGCAGAGCTTGATCTTTTAATCTCAAAATATAACCCACAGCTTTCACTCTGAACTTTTTACAAGCATCCCAAGCCCAGGGATAACTATGGTGATTCAATCATGTTTACAGAGCAATTTAAGTGAATTGTTGACCAATTTAGCAAATTACACATTTTCTCTCCTTTGGTATTTAATTTCAAAAGTAAAGACTGAGAATGGTTGAGCATCAAGTCCTAAATCTGGCTAACTAAATGAATGTTTTAGTCTCGAAACAGAAGTAGTTTTTTTTTTCCCTTTGGAAGTATGCAAAAACATATTTCAAGTGTGGAAGATTTATTTTCCAGGTATTATCTCCATAGAAGAGGTGAATGTTGAGTTAAGGACATTTCATCAGAAAAGCTGAGTTCATCTTGCCCAAAGAAAAGAACACATGAAATTGAGCTAACATACTTCAAAAGTTCTTTTGCAGCTAGCTCAGGGACAGAGCGTTGCTTCAAATTGCATTCCCTAAGATTGAATAATGCAATAATCGCGAAGTTCTTCCCCACACCCGCTTAATTTCTATCCTCTTATTTCCCTGAAAGAGCTGCCTAATGAAGAGCAAAAAGCACAGTGGTTCTCCTTGGGAAGGAAGTGGGGACATGAGTGGCAAATGTCCTGCCCGTGAGATCTGGGCTGAGTCATCACATTCCATTACCATGCTTTTGGAAATGTCTGCCTTGCCAACAGGAGCAAAGGCAAGCCCCTGTGATAACCAAATGAAATAACAGCTCTGGGTACCACAGAGCCTAGCAGATTCAGCTGCCATGCGGCTGCTTGGAACCGACTCAGGGTTATTTGAGTTCAGACACATTTGTAATGGAAATTGTGGTGCTTAGGGAATTTAGAGCAGGCAGATGAAGTTTGGAAGTGAAATGTAGTAGGTGAGAGTATGACTCTCATTCTGCACTAAGGCATTTGTTGTCTGTCACCTAACTTGTTGGGCAGTGGGGGGTTTTTGCTTGCCCAGTCCTTGGGGCCTTCGCTGTATTCTCACTCCACTCACCATGCACACTTAGAGGCTCTGCATAGAGCAGCTGGTTCATGGCCCCACTTTCTTTTGTTCCTGTTTGGGCTCAGACAGTGAGCCCAGTGTTTTCAATTTAAGTCAGAATATGCAGAGAACAGAATCATCCAACCAAATTTTATACATCATGCCCTTAATCGCTCCACATGGCAAAAAGTAAAATCTATGCTGAAGGATGTGACAGTGGCAGATAAGTGACACAGTGCTAAGGACTGGGCTTTTGATTTCCATGTCACATCTTCCTTCCAAATAATAAGTAAATTCTGGGGCCATTGAGATGGCACATCAGGCTAAGCTTCTATCTGCAGATCCTAAAAAGGGAGACTATAAACATATGCCTATTTCAAGATTAAAACATTAATGATACTCTGTCCCAAGGCAATTCTCTGCATTTCACAGATTAAAAAAAAAAGTTTCAATGAAGAAAAAGTTTGAGTAAATAAAGTCACAAAGCTAGCAAGAGGTGGGACTCAAACATTTCTTAATACCTTTATTAGGTATTGTATTATGCTGCCTCACATGTAAATAAAAAATCAACTTTTCATAGCACAGCAGCTTCATAGTTTCAAAAGACTGTCCATTTATCAGAAAGAGTTACATAGAGGAGAGAGGATTTTTTATCTGCTGGTTCACCACCCAAGTAGTCCCAATGACCAGGGCTTGGCCAGACCAAAGCCATGAACGCCAACATTCTGCCAGATCTTCTCTGTGGGTATAGGGGCTCAAGTAGTTGAGTCATATTCTGTTGCTTTCCCAGGCACATTAGCAGGATAAGAAACAGAGCAGCCAGACCCAAACCAGTGGCCATAGAGGATGCCAGTGTCACAGGCAGAAGCTTATAAGCCTGTTATAAGGAGCACTAGCTCCAGTTCCATGTTTTTGATAGAATAGAAAGTAAGGTCAATGTGCCAAACTGCTAAGCAAATCTTCAATACATTCGGAGACCAATGTTTATGCAGAAGTAAAGGAGAAGAAGAGCCTCCTCTGTAACCACTACTCACATCCTACTCCAATGCTCACTCAAATGGACTTTTGTCATTCTAAATTAAAAGCATACTTCAAAAAAGGTGTAAAAATATCATTAAATAAGTTTATTTTAGTGCAAAGATTTAAAATATGCACAGCTTTTCACAAAACCATATCCAGCAACATTTCTAGGATTCTATTTCTTTTTTTTTTTTTTAGATTTATTTATTTTTTTCATTGGAAAGGCAGATATACAGAGAGGAGAGACCAAGAAGATCTTCCATCTAATCGTTCACTCCCCTGGTGGGCACAATGGCTGGATCTGAACCAATTCGAAGTCAAAAACCAGGAGCTTCTTCTGCATCTCCCACTTGGGTGCAGGGTCCCAAGGCTTTGGGTCATGCTCTATTATTTTCCCAGGCCACAAGCAGGGAGCTGGATGGGAAGCAGGGCTGCTGGGATTAGAATCCGTATCCAGATGGGATTCTAGTGATTTCAAAGTGAGGTCTTTAGCTACTATGCTATTGTACCAGCCCCTTGAGGAGTCTTTGTATGTATATATTTCAAAACTTTTTGAACCAAAATATTTTGTATCTTATTTTCCACAAAACTCTGTTCTTAAATTTATTCATTTATTTATTCATTCAACCAGTAGAGAGATAGAGAAACTACGGAGATCTTTCATCTACTGGTTCGTTCCTTCAAATGGTTGCAGCAGTTAGGGTTGAGCCTGGCTAACACCAGAGTCCATTCTGGCTTCCCAAGTGGGTGACAGTGTGGTCGGACCATCTTCCATTGCCTCTCCAGGCACACTAGCAGGCAGCTGGACTGGAAGCAGAGCGACCCAAACTCGAATTGGTACTTTGGCATGCGATGCTAGCTTTACAAGCAGAGGATTAATTCACTGGGACACAAAAACTAGTCATTTCAGGGATATGTTCGCCTACAAGTTCCTTGAATGTAGGCAGATCCTAATATGTATTTTAAACACAGATTGTTAAGGAGGGCATGCAAAATGCATCAAAGCTGAGGATGCCTACAAAGCATCACTCCTAGGAGCAGGCTATACCTGGTCACCACCCATAATCAGCTGACCCCAAAAGTATTAACATCTCAAATCACTTACTCTCGCCTTCTGATTTCTTAAATGACGACATTCACCCTTTCCATACTGTGACTATGATCAATCTCCCTTTCCCATAACATTTTTATTTTTAATCGAGAGACAAAGAACTAAAGCTGGAGCTAATGCTGGAACGGAGCTACAATTAGAACTGGGATGAGCTAGATATCTCCTCCAGTGCCCATAGAGCCAAAAGCCTGGAACCCAATCCAGGCCTCTCATGTGCATTGCTTCAACTCAGCTACTTAAGCAATCAGCACTGTCCTTCAAGTTCTACATTAGAAGGAGGCAGGGATTGGGGCATGGAGCCAGAAGAAATACACCCTGGCTCCTTTCACTCCTTCAGTTGTTCATCTAACATTCTGTAACCCCTATTTTTCCACTTTGCCTTTACTGTTGATTTTGTAGTGGTTTCATAAGCTCCTTCTCTCATCTCTAACCCATTCATCATTCTAACAACAGTCACTTTCAATTTCTCATTTATGTCCTAAAGATTGACGGCTTACAGGAAAACAGCCACACACAGACCTCCCTCCTTGACTTCAGAGATAGGTCTGCTCACAAGGCGTTTCCACATGGTGTCTCATGTTCCAGTGCTCCCAGTTGAACTCACCATCTTTTCCCAGGGTTGTTCTTTTCTCCTGCAAACACCACCATCTCAGTGATCAGAATCACCACCCCCTTCATATTCATGCCAAAAATTTGGTTGTCACGAGGAAGTTTTGCTTTCCTAACTCCCATTCGCCCAATTAGTGCCCAAACTATTATTTCCGTTCTCTATCTGTTTAGTTCACTCTCATCTCAGTTTTCTAATACGGCCACAATCTCCTTTCTCATTCCTGTCTCCAGTTTTATCTGTTCTCAAATGGCCCTTTTAACGTTGCTAAGAACAAACACACCAAAATCCTCCAGGAAGGAAGCTTGCTTATTCATGTCTCATTACTCTCTGCAGGTTTAAAAATTCTTCAGTGCACCTTCATGTTTCTGCCTGATTTTGGCCCCTGTCTACAACTCCAGCCTCATTTTGCACAGTTTTTTAGTCACACTCAACCAGAATGTCATGGGTGCATTTTCTGTACAGGAAATCATTACCAAGTTCATTGGCTAAAGAGTGTTTTGTGAGTTTTCCTCTCCATCTTTCATCTGTACTCTATATCTTTGCCTGTTCTATCATAGCACTTACCATAAGGTATATAACATTTTTGCTTTTTTCACCTGTAAGTCTACTACACACCAAAAACTAAAGTAAAACCGTATGTAACCCTAGCACTTCACAAATGATCTTCCACAAACAGATACATATCAGAAAGTGATTATATGACTTTTGAATGAATTTGAAAAAAAATTGAGAAATCATTGCTCGGCCTTACTAGGCCTTAACTATGCTTAGTGGCAAGCATCCAACTCTGGAGTGCCTAAGTTTGACCTCAGCTCTGGCTGCGGTTCCAGCTTCCAGCTAACGCAGACCCTGGAAAGCAGCACATGATCATTCACGTAGCTGGCACTCTGTCATCCCCACGTGAGATCTGAGTTAAATCCCCGAGTCCTAGCTCGGGTCAAGTTCAGTCCTGGTCATCGATGGAATTCAGAGAGTAAACAGGGAGTGATCACTCGCTCATTCACCTTTTCAGTCTGTCTCTCTCAATAATTACAAACCTTAAACATACAAAGAAAGTGCATTCTAAAAGGAAACCGGCTGCAACTTTGAACACACTGCAGTCCCTGTTAAAGCAAACTTTATGAAGAAAATATTTATTTTCCCATCTTTGCCAGAAATGGCCTGGTTCCTCCTCTCCATTGTCTTTGGGACGGGAGCCCTGCTTTCCATGGGAGGGATGCCAGTCCTTGTGTATTTCTCTGCCATGTTTCTGCGCCAGAGTGATCCTCACGCTTCGCCTTTCCTAGTAGTTCTAATTTCCCCTTCTCATCACTTTAACCGAAATTTCCTTGTGGATCAGAGCTACATCTATCAGGATTTATATTAGCCATGAGCATAACAGAGCACTTCACATTTCTTGGGCTCTCAATGAATACTTGCAGAATGAATGAGAAGATAAATAAAAAACAATTTAAAATTAATTTTCTTTTCTGTCTCAGGATAATTATTCCCTTGTCAACATTTACAGGAGCCTCATTTTATTGTGTTTCATTTCAAGGGCTTTAAGCATAGCCTAATAAAGAAAAAAGTGAGTTCAATGAAGTATTTTTCTTGGGTTCAGCATGCATTTTGGTTTATTGATCGGGATGCTGAAGTCTTATCTTTATCCCACTGTTTATTAGTTTATAAGCTCTAGCTAAGAACATCATTCTGAGCCATTATCTGTTTTTTTTTTATTTTAATTGGAATTTCAGCACTTTAGTGGGTCTATTATATAAGTACAAAATGTCTGCCAAAGGAGCAAGCAAAGAAAGCTTATGTGAGATGATTCTTTAGCAATAGAAAGTCTTAGATTCCAATCTAATCAACTGTGAAAGCTAAGAGGAACAAAACTTGAGGATTAAATAGAGTTAGGAGTCAGCACTAAAAATAAATGCAGCTAGAGCACAAGTACTCCATCCTTTTTTCAGGGGGAAAATATGTTTTCCCTCTTGAAAGCACTTTCACTGCCCACATAGTTATTCAGAATGAAATATCACTTCATAAATGCTGGAGTCATCACTCTCACGCTGCTAACGACTTTGTAAATAGAAACAAAGACAGCCTGATCTGGGCAGTGCTTGAAAGAGCCTGCTTTTTTATTAAAATGCCAGTATAACAAAAGAAATCAATCTAAAATAATTTTTTTTAACTTTTTCTCACTTCACAGTAGATGGATGCCCACCTTAATAACCAGGAAAGACAAACAGAAAATATCTCTCGGGTGGTTGTTAACTATGTTCAATTATTGTAAAGGTAGATTGGTGTCCTTTCTTAGGATAATGTATGAATTTGTAATATTTGTAGTAACAACATAACAGTTATTCAATCAGTTCTTAATCATTCTTGAATTAGCCTGGATTTTTTTTTTAATCTAGCACATAGTCACTAAGATAAGCAATGAATAAAACCTAAAAGACATATTCTCTAACTCCTAAAACTTATATTCATGTTGGGAAAAGAAACATACAATGTTATTTTCAATGTAATATGACAAAGGCTATCACAGATTTGTTATAAGATGCTCAGGAGGTCAGAATGGAAGGAAACCCAAACCAAACTCATAGAAGAAAATGAGATTTAAAATGGGTTCTGGGCCCAGTGCAATCGCCCAGTAGCTAAATACCTCGCCTTACACATGTCAGGGTCCCATACTGGCACTGGTTCTAATCCCAGCAGCCTCACTTCCCATCCAATTCCCTGCTTGTGGGAGGGCAGTCGAGGACAGACCAAATCCCTGGGACCCTGCACCCACGTGGGAGACCCGGAGGGAGCTCCTGGCTTCTGGTTCCGGTCAGCTCAACTCAGGCTGTCGCAGCCATTTGGAAAGTGACTCAAAGGACGGAAGCTCTTCCTCTTTATCTCTCCCCCTCTCTGTATATCTGACTTACCAAAAAAAAAAAAAATAATAAATCTTAAAAAATAAAAAAATGGGTTCTGTGAGTAGGTAAGATTTTCATGCAGACTCCAATGTGAACCACATTCCTAGCTGAGTCAATGTCTTTCAAATTCACGATGGTATTTCTATATCGGGATAATGTCCACTTAATTCTGGCTATGTTTATGTCTAAATGTTCTTAAATATTGGATGTTGACCATGGAAACCTCCATCATTCAGGCAAGCACAACACAGGGATGTTCTAGAGAAGGTGCATACTGAGTGACGCTGCCCAGGAACTGCTGGCCAGCACTTCCGGAAGGAGCAGATCCGGGGATGCACTTACCGAGGAGCTGACTGTGGGGTCCGATCTCTGACTCCCAAATTTTTTGCTGTGTTCTGAACTCTTGCTCCCTGAAAGTTAGGAAAAATCACTTTTAGCTGTACACTAGAAATTATTTTCAATGGTATTAACATATGCATATGGAACTGTTATTCCAACATTGTATTTGACACAGGAGTTATTGCATAAAGACAAAGGGACAAATCTGAGTGCAGTGAAGTAGGAAGAGTAAGTTCTGGTGTCCCATGACACAGCAGCATGAGCATAATAAACAGTACTGTGTTATATACCTTGAAAACACTTAGATGAGAAGATCTTTAATGTACTCACCATAGGTGGGCATCCAAAGTGACATCTACACTACTGTGTCAATGGTCTGTCCTGAAAATATTGTCTTTAAGAGCTCTAAAGCCATGTTTAGAAAGGCTTGCTCATGTGGATTTATGAATTCTAAATCTGTCTCCATAAGTTTATAGGACAAAGAGAGTTTAGCAATAAAAACGTTTTCATAATGTGCCAAGTCATAAAAGGAGTTATAATTCTTGATCAGTCCCTCACAGAAATTAACTACTATGTGAAATGCAACATCTTGGTCTGTGTCTGGAAATAAATGATGGGAGGTTGTTTAAAAACTGCAACTCTGCAGTTATCAAATTCTGAGTTAAGGTAAGGGAAGAATGGAAAGGAAGTAAAGAACAAAGAATACATTCTTTAAAGAAATCAAATAGAAAAAAAGGGGGGTGGAAAATGAAAGGTGGAGAGGAATTTCAGAACTGCAGTTAAGTAGCTAAACAATCTTACTTTGAAGTAACTTTAAAGCTGCAAAAACATAAGAGAATTTACAAGCTTCACTCAGCTGCCACTAACACTAATCCTTCATAATACTGATCCATCATGGTGATCAAAATTGGCTTCTAATCTTATTAAAATTTCTCTATTTTCTCCACTATATCCCCCTTCCTATTCCAGGACCCCACAGAGTGACAGTTCTTACTGTTCCCCTTTCTGTGGCATTTTTGATGAGCATGGTCATATATCTTGTAAGATGTCTCAGTTTATAGTTTGTATGATATTCCCTCATGATTAGAGAAGGGAACTGCAGGTTTGGCAAGGCACACAGAGGTTATGCTGTGCCTGCTTCAACTAGGGGATGCATGATGCAAGTCTCATCTTAGGTGACAATAACTTTGGTCTCTTAGCTAAAGTGATGTCTGCCAGATATTTCCTCTTTCAGTTACCACCTTCATGTCCATATTTAATCACCACGTTGTTGGTGATGGTAGGACTCATGTAAATTTTGTCTTTAAACTGTTGATCATTGATTTTAGTTTCCACTGATAATCATGTCTGCCAAAATGAACCACAATGCTTCTGTAAAGAAGAGTGATCCCTTCTCCCCAAATTATTGCTTCAAGGTACACCCGAGCTGGTATGAACTTATAGGCATTTATTCTTTGAAAAAGAAACAAGCATTTTTTTCTCATATTGTTCCAGACTTGACCATTAGGAGATCTTTCTTGTTGTTTCTTGTGTCCTTTGGATAAGCATCCATCATTTTCTAGTATTTCATTATTTTCTGGAACCCCCAGGTATTTCAAACTCATCACTCTGCATAAGCAGGTAATTCACCATTTCTTCACAGGACTCCAGCTCTTTTGTTAGAGAAAGAATCAGCTTCCTATGTAGTAGACAGGGCTGGCTTACTGACACAAACATATCTACACACCTATATTCATTTCTATACCTGTCTATAACTGAATGTATGTGTTATATTGTGTTCAGATTGATGTCTCTTAATGTAGTACTGCAGGGCTCATTCTAAACTCCAATCCCTCTCTTTCCTAAATTGTAACATCTTTGTTAGATGATAAGAAATCTGCCTCTCATTATTTACAAAATATTTACCATTCTGTTTAGTTCCATCATGCATATTATATTTTGGAATTTCTAGCCAAACATCTGTTTAAAAAATTCACTAACAAGAATACTGCTTCCTGTAAATTATTCTTATCTCTGATCTCACAGTATCGCATTAAATTATAGAATGAGGTTTCTTTCTCAAAGGCTTTGCAATAAAACCCTGCTGAACAAATCAATTGGCAAGAGTCTAATTCAAATTAAAGTATATAATGAATGAGTCAAATCCTCAACACGCCACCTATTGTTTCTTTACAACTTTGCTTATGTTGCTCCCCACACCACAACACCCTCCCTGTCACCTTCCCTTTATCTTTCATGACTCAATTAAAGGATCTTCCTACCTAGCTAACAATTGCTAGTCATTCACTACTGCAGTACTGCTGTAAATACATTAAATATGTTGGTGCATTTAATTTTCTTAACAGCACTATGAGACAGTACAATTACTATCATCCATATTTTAACACGAGAAACTTATTAAAAGAGAGGCTAAATATCTTATTCCAAACCATACAGACAATAAACACAGGTGGGATTTAAACTGAGGCTGTTTGTTCAACAGATTGTAGTTAGGCATTATCAAATGCCTACTTTCCACATAAAGCCTTTTTCTGGTTACCCTAGTTAGAACTGATTCACCAAATAATCAGTTGGCATTTACTTTGTACCAGGTATTATTCTAGGAAACTAGCCAACCAAAATGAGTAAGAACAGTGTTCCAGGCATGGAGGAGCTCACCAATGACTCAGCTGTTCCCTGTTCTGTGTCTTGACACAGACTTCACATTCCTCATAGCACTTGTAGATAGCCTGGTGATTTCACTATAGATGTGTCCAGCATGAGATTAAATGAGGATCACATCAAACCCATGTGTTTGATTTAATGGTTAGTTACTATGATGTCTTGTTTCTATAGATAAGAAACCAAGATACTATAGAGTCTAGTTTTTATGTACAAGGATAAGAAGAAAATTTTATGTTAATATCCACCAAAGAATAATAGGAATGTATGATGTATAGCATAGGAAACTGGTTTATAAGAATATATATGGACTTTAACAATCAATCAGCTGGTTATAAAAAATGTGCTGCTCATGGTTACCAGTGTAATTACCAAAATATTGGAAAGGATATTTGTATTCTCCCTTCTATCTTTCATCCTTCTGCAAATTCAAGTTATGAGCTAAAACAATTCTATAACAAGTATGCACACAAAATGTATACATTAAAACAATACTGTGCTTACAAATAAGAATAGATCAAGCCAGAAAACTTGCTCCCCAAAGGAAATGCAAGTTCTTATTTATTATACTCATTATATAGTATTCATTATATATTCATAATATTAAAGATTTATTTACTAAAATGAAAGGGATAATGACAAAGGGAAAAGGATGCACACACACACACACACTCTCTCTCTCTCTCTCTTTCTCACACACACACACACACACACACACATTTTCCACTTGTTACTTCACTTTCCAAATCCTCACAATTACCAAAAACCCCATCCAAATTTTTCATGTGCCATTAGCTGGAAGCTGAATTGGAATTAGAGTTGAGATTTGAGCAAGCAGTCTGACAACGAAAACATATATCCCATGTGGTGGCTTAATGCACAATGCCATGACACCTATCCTCAAATATATTACTATATACTATATATATATATTTATATATATATATACAAATATATATAGTATATATATATATACAAATATATATATACTATATATAATATATATTTGTATATACTATACAAATTCAGATGTGATAATGCAATCAAATGTTCCAGTACAGACTTAAGATGGCAAATACCCTAACGACTCATTCTGTGCAGAAATGGCTGTAAGTGGTAAGGTGAATTTTCCAAAGGCTGAGATGCAAACGGGACTCAGGGTTCACTGGAGATCCTTGATGGAGGCTTGCATTCTTGCTGCTCAGCTCCTAAGTGGGTAGAAAGCTGCTACAGCTGTGCGACAGATTGCCTGGTTCCTCTAAGGGACAGTCTTAACTCCAGGATCGGACACTGAGAAGCAACAAATCAGTTCTTTGTCTCTTATGACCATGTGGGACATCACAATTTGGAGCAGACAAAGAGGAAATGAGCAACAAAGGAAGAAAGCAAGCTCTTTTAAATGTGGTTATTTGAAAAAAAGTGGAAGGAAAGAGTGAGAAATACTAAAAAGAAAATAGTGCAGTTTATAAATCAACAAGGATTTCATATGAAACTACATGGCTTCTCTTCTCCATGACATTGTATTTTATATAACACATTGTAATACTATGTTACTATAATGAGCAAATATATTTTTGTGCTTGTCTCACATTTTTGCATCAGTAAAATGAGCCATTAGGGAATATGCGTTATCAATCTCATTTCAAATTTTTAATTTTCATTTTCAGCTTTTGGAAAGTAAAAACCGTTAGATACAATTATGATTCTTCAAGTGGACAACTCATAATAATCATGGCATTTCAGGGTGTTTTTTTTTCTTGCCATAAGCAATCCGTAAGTTTCTCTCAGGCTACCTGTAAAATTTACAGGCAACACAGTAAAACAGAAGAGGAGTTACTCTCTTCTAGTAATTCAAATCCCAACTCAGATTAGAATAATCACAAGTTTGCTTTCATCTACTCTTTAAAGCAGAACGAGTATATCCAACTCTAAACTCCCAATTCTAGCCTTTGGAAATGTGTTAGCAGTTCACATTTGTGTTTGCTTTTTGCTACACCTTTTCGGTGGGTCTAACCTTTACTTAGTAAACCTCTCTTAGCAAACCGCTCTTTGCTTTCAGGTTCATGAGTACCTAACCCAAGGTGCCAGCCAACACGCCCTCATGGTGCCAGATCTCTGCACTGCAGAAATCAGCCTACTGTTGGCTTCCTTTATTGATTTTTCATTGAATTGTTGACATTCTGCATGTAATATTGGGAGTAAGCCCAAAGAGATTTACATGTTTGCCTGAGAATTAAACATTAAGTCTTTAATAAATGAAGCAGTCATTATTATGAAAGCAAACCTTAAGTTAATATATTCACTGGGAATGGCCATCCCAATCCAAGTCAGCAAGTAGATTTATTATTTCAGCCCTTATTTGAAGGGCAGAGTGACAGAGACTGAGAGGGACAGAGGCAGGGAGAGAACGCGGAAAAAAGGCGCGAGGCAGGGAAAGACAGCAAAAAAGATTGGTCTATCCTTCTGCTTATTCATTCCCCAGATGGCTGAAACAGCTAGTTTCAGCTGTTTCACGGCCAAAGCCATTAACCCAAAATTCCATAGTGTCCCACATGGATGGCAAGGGTAACAATTCTTGGGACATCACAGATGCTTTCCTAGGCACTGCAACAGAAAGCTGGATTGGAAAGAGTAGATGGTCCTCGAACCCATTACTGCTGGGACTCTGTTCCCACGTGAGATGCCACCAACGTTGCAGGCTACATGAGTCTTACCCTTGTACCACAATACTGGTTCCTAAGTCAGTTTTCTGTGTGGCCCAAAGAAGATGGTAGAAGAAAAGGTAAAACAGTTGTCTCATTTTTTTGAAATCTTTCCATTAGGTGGGTGTGTGTTTTCTTAGGCTGAGCATTTTCCTATTCATTAAAGTTGATTTAGTGTATCATTGTAGCTTTTCATGAGAATTTTAGGGGTTAAAAGTTAAGCTACTTTAAAAAAAAATACTATTTGGCTACTGGCTAGAAAGCTCATTCTATGTGTAAGAGACCACATCCTCATATCCAAGCACCTTGTGACCCAGAGTGCAGAAGCTGCTCTTATTCTCTAAAAAAGTGTAAGATAACGCTTTCATCTTTGGGATAAGGCACGCCCTTTTTAGCATGACATGAGACGGAAAGAAGCAAGCACAGCCCTCAATTCTCTCCTCTTCCTCCTTGCCTGTCTCTTGCCAGGTCTTCCCTGATGTTACTAAAAAAATCCACAATTCCCAAAATGTCTTTTTATTCAGTTATAGACATGAAAAGTGAGCCCCCGCTGCACTCCTGCTCCATTCTGCTTGGCCAAGTCTGTTTCTTCCGTCAGGCTACTGGCTTATATACCTCCTTCTTCAGGTTTCTGTAAGAGTCTTGAGTACCCTCATGCAAATGCAAAACTGGAAAAGTGCCTTTCATTGCTTGGCACCTATGAGACTCTTGGTCAGTGAACACAGGAAGCTTCAAATCCATGTTCTGTGAAACAATTGCTCTAAAACACACACACAAGACTCACCTGTTTTCTCATCACGTCTGTAGCCTGCATGATGTAGCGAGGAGGCAGTCCATGGCTTCTGGCCAGGATGATGGCCTGCTCCAAAGTCACACTCAGGGTGCACCTGTGGGCAAGGCAAGGACAAGTAAGACACCATGAGACCCATGGGTCCTTCCTATATTCTGCAACACAGCACAAGTCACAGACTTCAGAATCAGAAAGCACCACTCTAAATCAAACTAGCCAAACGACAAACCACTGATGCTTCTACATAGAACATTTAAAAGTAGATGCCATAATACTTTCAGGAAGTCATGAGTTAAACATTTACCAAATGAAGTATGTTTATGAGAGTACTTGACTATACAAAATGATACGGTAAGACTACACAATTTTATAATGAAATATTACTCTTTATTCATATTTTATGGAGTTTAGAAGAAGGTACTACATAATGCTTATCATTCACTTCTATATATTGATAAATGCATGCATCTTTTAGAAAAATAAATAGTGACATTACTATTCACTAAGGTCATGATTGACTTTAAATAAATGTGCTTCTCAGACCTGATCTGAAGGATTACTTGTCAAAGTTTCCAAAGGAACTTGTAATTAGTTATACTGGGAAGTAAAAAATGTCCAGAGGAGCCCTGAGAGGACAGTGTCCATGAACCTTCATTCTTCTATTCCCCTTTAAAGCATTTCTTTTGTGTTCTTTCACTCTTTTATTTTGTTAAATTTTTATTTTGAATTTTTGAATTTTATGGTAGAATTTTGTATCGACTGGGGTTCCTCCCCACAAACTCCCACCCCCAACAGATTTTCCCCATGTTGCTACAATAGTATAGTCCTTCATAAGGAGTCATAATTCCATCAGTCTGTTATTTAAGTGTGTTTTTCACTCTTGCTCTATGGCAAATCTGAGGGCCTATGTTTCTTTAGTTGCTAACATTTTCTGGAGCTGCTCTCTGGGTTGTATTTCTAGGATTTTTTTTTTTTTTTTGCACTAAGTTCAGAAAAATGCAAATCAATTTTAGAAAGTTTTCCTAAAACTCACATCAGATGTAATTTTACTTAATTTATTGATAATTCAAAAAGTTTTTAAACCTAACCTTTTTATATTCAGCTTCCTGAAGATTGATGTTTTACTCATATACACATATTTTTCCCCTACAAATGACAGTAAATGCTACAGTGTGACTGCTTCTATATGAACAATATCTAATCCATTATCTTTGGTTATGAGGGTTTAACAGAGATGCACAATACATCTGGTCAATTTTAACGCTAAGGAATTAAAAGTAAAGGGAAAGGGGAACTGAAAGTTTAATGAAATAATATTACACAGGACTTGACAACATGCAACTGTTTTATTACACATAAATGTGTCCTAAGGAGAAACATGTTAAGTTGCATAGGCTATTACCAACTTGAAAAAACAGCATCCTCATTCTCATCACACAAAATTTTTTTGAAATTGTAATATCATGTGTCCAGATGAGCTGAAGTTTTATAATTAACTTCTGGTTGTAAATGACAGTCAAAAACATTTAGAGTATGAATCTGCTATCAGTGCATCTCTTTGACATGGATATGCATGCCATAGAGCAATCTAGATCAGTGAAAGCCAGCCAGTACAATGGGCAGCTCATCTTTAAAAAAACAAAACAAATCATTTTCTACAAAGCATTTAAGTCAGCCTACTCAATCGACCACAACCTTTCGCTCTTCCTTAAAGTCTCCTCTAATTCAATTTGAAATCTTTTTGATCTAACATTTCAATCAATAATGCTCATTATACCTGCTGCATACAGATAACAAAAATTTATCATTTTAAAAACATGATGCAGGGCCCGGCGGCATGGTCTAGTGGCTAAAATCCTTGCCTTGAACGCGTCGGGATCCCCCCAGTTCTAGTCCTGGCTGCTCCACTTCCCATCCAACTCCCTGCTTGTGGCCTGGGAAAGCAGTCGAGGATGGCCCAATGCTTTGGCATCCTGTACCTGTGTGGGAGACCTGGAGGAAGTTCCTGGCTCCTGGCTTCGGATCGGCACAGCACCAGCCGTTGCGTTCACTTGAGGAGTGAATCATTGGACAGAAAATCTTCCTCTCTATCTCTCCTCCTCTCTGTATATCTGACTTTGTAATAAAAATAAATAAATCTTTTTTTTAAATAAAATTTTATTTTGCCATAGTTAATTCAAAATAAATAAATCTTAAAATATCTATATATATAAAATGATGCAATGTCTGTGTTTACATGATGAAGCATGAGTTGCTCCATTCAAAAAAAAAAACCACTCACTGTAAATAGTTTTTAACAGGCAACATGTAATTTTTATTCATGTTCTCAAATTTTTTGAAATGGGTTTATCTCTCCCTACTTCAGGCTGTAATAAAGAGCAAAGCAGTAGCAAATTATCTGATAAAGACCTTAAAAGATTTTACCAAAATTGGGAAATCAATGAGGTGAGTAAAACGCTCCAGGGCTCAAAGCATGACCTCCTCAGCAGTCACCTCTTTCAACAGCAATCACAGGTGGCTGATACCGAAAACGAGTGGTTTCGCTTTTCATACTAAACATTGTATATGCCTCAATTAGGTCTAAATATTAATGTGAAATTATTAATCAGTTTCGAATACAAAGAGACAATGTTGGACATGTGGGAAGGGTTGTCTGTTGATTCAGGACGATGGATCCCACCGAAGTCTAGCTTGCCCACTCAGAGCACGAGAAAGAAAGCCAAGCAACAACTCCACAGCCTCGCAGTCAAGGGACCACAAGATTGTCAACCATCAGAACCTGAACGACAGGTGCTGGAGGCCTTTTGATTTGATATTCTCACAATGACTCTGGGTACCGAAAACGGCCCAGGGTTTACACTGGGGTAGAAATGAATGTTCAGTGAGGACTTACAAGGAATTATTTCATTTCACAAATACATTTGATTATCAGAGAGCTTATCTGGTAACCTGGGGTAAAATAATGAAAGCAGCAGAGGAAACATGTGGAAGTCTAAGCAAATTTCATTCAGTACGAGGCTTCTTGCCTGATTTACCTGTCCCAGGTTTTTTTCTAGCACAACCTCTGTTTTCACCTTGGACAGTTAAATTAAAAATTAAATAAATCTGTATTTTTACTCTCTCTGGAGACGTGTGCCTTCAATTTTTGAGATATTTCTAGCAGCAACATAATTTTTTAACAATTACTCTTTATCTGACATAAATAATAAAACAAATGTCATATGCACTGGCATTTGTCTTTAATAAAATGCAAATATATGCGTGAAAGGAAATTTGTCATAATTTTAGTAAAAAAAAATCCTCCAACTAATGGCTCTGTTTAGAATGTGCTTGGGACAAAACATGAATATGAAAGCAAAATCACAAACACAAAAATACCAATTTCCTTATAGAAAATGGAAGAGGTCAAAGTGTTTATAATTAATACATTTTCTTGACATATTTCATACTGTGAATAGATTTCAAACCACTGAAATATTTAGTCCAGTTTCATCATGATAAATGCAATCTATAGTTAATGGGTCTGATTTAACAGGAATGACACTTACATTTGGCAATGTTATAGAAGACACACAGAGTAAGAGAAGTTTCTATTGATTTATTGAACAATTATTTTCCCCCAACTGCTGGTAACTGCCTAAGTTGCCTTGTACCTAGGCAAGTGTTACACTGCTGGGAGAAAAGCAACTAAGCTAGCAGGCATTCTGGGCCTGCTTCATGCCAAATTTGTGTTAACCATATCAGTATGCCAGCATAATTGCCTATTTTTTAAAAAAGATATGTGGGGGAGAAGACACAAGCATACTAACAGAGTCTGGGGAACTACGTGTGGGTGTGTGTGAGTCCTAGGTAGGCATGATGTGCCCCAGGCTGCCACGGCACACTGCCAGTGGGCTGGAGTGCAGAACTAGCCAGGTTGGGTCACAACATCAGCTAGTTCACATTAGGGCTAAGACTGGCTGGGCTGTGCTAGGCTGAAGCACATGTGCATGAATAGGAACTGGGGCTAGGCAGGGCTAAGGCAGGCTGCAGCACCCGCTGGTGGATGCCCAGCTAAGTCGAATCATGACAGTCTGGACCACAGCTCCAACTAACATATGTAAGTTGGGATGGGGACAAGCTCAGCAGGGAAGCTGTGGGGACTTCCCTTTTGGACCACTGCTCCTGCTAGTGAGCGAAGCCAGATCAGGTTGGGCAGGGTAACAACACTTGTTAGCTTGCATGTGAGTTGGGTTAGGGGGAGAGCCTGGCTGGGCTAAGCGACCATATCCACTGGTGCGTGCAGGAGTCAGAGTAAGTATAGACTGGTTGGGCATTGCTGCAGCATTACCTGGGAAGTACAGGAACTGGGAACAAGTCCTGTCAGGGTAGACCATGGTACTACCTGGAGGGTACAAGATCCAGGACTGGAAGTGGGCCCAGTAGAGAAATTGTGGGTACCTCTCATGGGCTGCAACTCCCACTAGTGAGCATAAAAATCAGAGCTAGGGGAGGGCCTGTCTAGATAGGCTGTGCTGTCCTCCACCATGAATGTGGGCTGGATAGTGGGAATGGTTTGGTTGAGCTAGGCTGCAATGCCCACTGATCCATATCAGAGCTACATGGGATGTGGGACAGACTGGACCAGTTTGCTGCACATATCTGCATGCACAAGAATCACTGCTTTCAATTGCATTCTGAATAAACAGTAATGTCATTTCTTTCTCTTTGTTTCTTTCTCTTTTTCTTCCTTTCTTTCTCTCTTTCTCCCTCCTTCCTTCCTTCCTTTTTTTTTTTTTGTAATTGCTTATTCTTCCTCTTGAACAGGGCACTCAACTTCACATCCCAAATCTGAAATCACTCCAGTTTTTCTAGGTTGCAAGTATGGAAAAAAGCTCAGTTTCATCTCTTCTAATGACCAAATTTTAACTAGAAGAAAAATAAAAGAAAGAAGCAAACCCTAACATCAGGTGGGGATAGGCTGGAAGAGTAATTTTTGTAGCAGAACATAAAGCGAGATGTATTAATAGAGGTGGAAAGAAAGAAGAAATGGAGTTTCTGAGATCATTTCAGGGACAGTACACATTAGGCCCTGAGGTGAATGCTGGGTTGTTTGCT